CCAGCACGCTGGCTGGGGGAATTCTGGGAGTTGAAGTCCACACAGCGTAAAACGGCTGAGGTGGAGAAACACCGATTTAAACCACAGCACCAAGCCAGGAAAATGAAAATACAAGCATTAGTGCCCATGCGTAGATTTCCCAGAATCATGCGACTGCAGGAAGGGGTGGGAGGGGAGCCAAGGTGGCGCATCAGTCAGTCCCACTGCTGAGGCAGCTTGATCACCATTGGATTTGTAAGCTACACTTATGGCTGATCTCCCATGAAAGCTTGGCCACCATGTGAAATCTGGAGTCTTACAGACTGAGTCACCCCGTAATGTCAGGTCCAGACCAAGGGGAGAACGTCTTGCCATCCTGGGTCCGCTTTCATGTCCTGACATGAAGAAAGACAGTCTCTCAAGTGCTCCACAGCTCCAGGAGAGGCGGTTCCAGTCCAAAGAAGGCAAGCAGGATGCGGGCCATCTTGGTTGCCAGAGCGGGCCCCTTGGCCAGCCCCCTGTGGCGCTCCCCAGAGGACGAGGCTGCCGGGGTCCTCAGGAAGAGATCGAGGACGTCAGGACTGTCCCCTGACCATTTGGAGCCAGTTCCCCAAAGCGAGGGTCCACTCCCGTTTCTTTCCCACTGAAGACGAAAGGAGTTTGGAAGGGGGGCGGTCCCGTCATACATGGGTCTGCATGCGCTGTTGAGCAGGGCGCCCATAGTCAGACTGCTGAGACAAGGACGTGTAGGAGAAACGGGAGCAGCCCGAAGCCTTGCTGGCTTGGTCGGACTGCTCGTAGCTGCTCTCGGCCTTCTCGTAGCTGCTCGGTTTGACGTAGCTGGTAAAAGCCCGGCTATAGGGGGCAGTGAGGTAGGCTGCTCCACTGTACATGTTTTCTGGAGGGAACAGCCGCTCGTGGGTGGTGTCGTACGCGGAGCGGGAACTGGGTGTGCCCAAGGTGTAGCGGTGGGTGTACTCAAAGAGTTTGGGTTGCACCGGCCCCGTGGACGGGTACAAGGAAGTCGGCCCGAACAAAGGTCGGGGGGCTGGCGTATATTCCGAAAAGCTGCTCCCCAAGCATGGTTCCTCATGGGCACGCACCTTGTAGTAGCCATTGGTGGGGTCCTGTGGACAAAAGAGACTCGTGAGTTTAGAGGTAGGCTCGCTGCTGAGTGTGGGTTGCCAGCCAGGAGCTGTGCCATTTTCTAGGATACAGTATTCTATTCCCCCTCCGGAATAGTTTTCCATTTTTTAAGAACTATTGGTATCAGGTGAACGTAAATCTCATCGATCGTAGGAGCTTTCTCCCGCACATCCTCATTTTCTCTCTTTTGCTTATTCACTGGACCCATCTCCGTCCTGTCCTTTCTCTAAGAGCTCAAGGCTACCCTGGTGAGGATCTTCTCCCGTTTCATCTCCACCACCACATCCTGTGAAGGAAGCTGGCTTGAAAGAGAGCAGGTGGTCTACCATTCCCCCGTTCGATCCAGAGGCAAGGGGCGGGGGGGACTTGAATCCAAATCCCCCGGGCTAACCTCTGTTACCGCACTGGCTCGGTCAGATATGCGGGGAGTCCCGCACAGCCCCAGCCGAGCTCACCTTCAACTCCTGACTCCCTTCGTCATCCTCCAGGATTTCACTGTGCTCAGTGTGGGACGTGGCTGGAGACTCGCTGCTTGTAGCCTGGAGGCAGAGGAAGGGGGAAAGGTGAGCATTGCTGTCCGAGAGGCCCACGCGCAGCTCGAGGCCAAGAATTGCACTCCAGTGGCGCCAACAAGTTCCTGCCCATCTGGCTAGGACATTCGAATGGGATGGGGCAAGAATGCCAGTGCGTGCGCGTGTGTGTGGAGGGGAGAATAAGGAAAAATAAAGCCAAATTTAAAATAATTATGCCTTGCTTGGCAGTTGCTGGACTGCTCGGAGCTGCCTCTGAAAACTGTGGGCCCAAATATGAGCCAATTGTGAATAGGGAAATTCAGAGGGCACAAAACAAGAACTTGGAGGCCACGTGGGCCTTCCTGGTTGCCCATTCTATGCTCTGGGGCCAAGTGAGATATGACACCTGTGTTCCTGCCACACCTTGAGCCGGATCAGTTATGCCTGGAGTGGCTTCATTTCTACTTCTAGGCTTGATTAGTTTTAATCTAGGTTAGATTGGGGGGGAGAGGGGTTAGTGTGTTGTGTGAATGCAGGCCATTTAATCAGTATATGATAGGGTTCAAAGAATTGTACACACCTTGAAAAGAGCTTTATTCAGGAACCAGATTGAGTGGGCTGTGTGAACGCAGCCAATCAAGATTTAGGATTAGGCCATCCGTGTTCAGCTCGAGTCACTCCTTTCATTTCTAACATTCATGTGCCAACACTAGGGCCTGTGTGGCTAAAACAGCGCCACCTATGGCCATGGGAGCAATGGGATGAGTAAGCTTGAGGAGCCTGAAGATTTGCAGAAATACCCCCAAACCCTACAAACTTTAGTCGGATGTGGGGGGGGGGTTCCCCAATGCCCACTGAGGAGTGGATGGGCTCCATCAGTGGGGCAGGCAGTAGGGACTGGGAATCTGAAAAACAAGGGAAGGGCTAGATCCAGGGGGAATGAATTGGGAGTATCCTAGAAAAACGTAACAGGCTGGCTGGAACTTTGCAGAGGAGATGAGGAAAGAGCATTATGGATTGGATAAAACACAAGGATCGGTGACATCCCTGGAAAACGAGAGAACTTTTTGCCTCCGGCATTCTGACAGATGCACTCTATCCTACAACATTTGGCTACAGCTCCCTCCCGCCCCCTTTATAATTTTGAATTCTGGACATGCCTTGCTTGCTTCTGGCCACAAATGAAAAAAGGAGAAGTTCTCTCTCTCTCTCTCTTTTCACAACAGGCCGGCTTAGCTAGCTGGGGCTGGAAGCTGCAGAAACAGGGGCTTGGCGGAATGCAGGGTCTTGGGGCCAGATTCCTGCCCAGTGAATCCCCATCTCCGCTCACCATGGGTTCTTTGCCGTCATCTTCCACCTCGCTGGGCCTGCTGGGGCTGCTCTCGCTCGTGGTGATCTGCACGAGGATATCTGCCTTGGACAGCTGTGTCCCCCGCTTGGCTGCGGAAGAGACAGATGGAGGGAGGCGGAGATCAGATCGTGCTTCCCATCACCTAGGAAGCCACCCTTAAGGACAAAGGTTGATGATGCCTTGCAGGAACCCCGAATCTGGGGCTATCTGGGTTGGCTGATGGATGTGTAAACAAAGGGGCTGAGAGAAGATGAATTCAATGCCCTTGTGCTCCTTCAAGTAAATACTTCCATATATCTTGATGTGCACAGGATAGCGTTACTTAAGTTTCAGCACTGAACTGTAGCTCACAGCTAGGAGATGCGTGCTGCATGCAGAACAACCCCGTTTCCATCTCTGGCGCCCAGTTTAAAAAAGGATCATGTCGCAGGTATGATGAGATATTGAGAAAGATGAAGAGGTGCCTTGAGGGGGCTAGCTAGGATATTTGAGGCTGTGGTGGACATGGCTGTGACTAAAAGAGGGGAATGCCAAAAAGGGGCTGTCTATTATTCCCAAGTGTCTGTTAAATCAGAGAGTATGTCCTCCCAATGATTTACCCTGTTTGTATAATGATGTTACTCCGCAAATAATGCCTATTATGTCAGTTGCATAATGATGTCATTGCTCCAATAATGCAACGGACATCATTTGCTTAATGGCATCAACAGGCAAATGACACAGATGATGTCATTATGCAGACAACACCAATTGCTTCAGGAAGTGGGCTCACTGCATACAGGATGAACTTGTATCAAGGACTGGTAAATCGAGATTCTCCCTCCCCAGTGAAGCCAGAAAGGCCCCTTCCTGGGGTTTCACCCCGTGCCTCCACTATCTGCACCCTGCTCTGTTCTTCCCTGGGCTACTCAAGTTGACCCCAACAACTCCCACCGCATGCATTCCTATTCCTGCAGGGGCTTTGGGCTTTGCTTAGCCTTTCAGGTGAGCTTGAACTCAGGAGAAGACTGCAAAGTCCAGGGAGGGAGGAGGGGGGCAGCTGGGGAAGGAGCGTGAAAGTTGCAGAAATCTTCACCTTTTCCGCAGCGCTTGCGTCGATAGCAGAGGGAGACAAAGACAACTAGGAGCAAGAGAGCGACAACTCCCGACGCAGCCAAAGCACCCAGCATCAGGACAGACAGGACCTCTTGGTAGAAAAAGGCATTGCTCGGATTAGTTTCATCTCTGGATCTACGACAGCCTTCTCCCACTTGGAGACTCCAAGCTGGAGAAAGCCGCCGTCTTTCTCTTCTTAGTGATCCTCCTCATTTTTCTCCTGCTTCCAAAGACTTCAGACACACCAGCCAAGATTCATTACTGCTTTGGAAAGCAGTAATGGACTGGCAGTGTGGTTTGCGTGGAGAAAGAGTCACTACCTTCATGTAATGCTTTTAATCTGGTTACTGAATTGACTCATTTTTGGCCAAAGCGCAAGAAACCGAACTGGCCCAATGACCTGGGTTTGCGCAAGATGCTAATCAAGATGAAAAACTGACCGAACATAATACGGATGCTGCATCGGGTCGATGCTTATCTAACCTCATGGAGTACGTTGGGTAAAACCATCTTTCGTGAGGAGGAAATTCCTCTCATGGGGATTTTTCAAGTCAGGAAGTGGTGATCACCTGCATCTGATGAAGTGATCTACTGTTCACTTATCCTTCCTTTTAATACAATCTATGAGTCTGAAAAGGTGCTACCAGACTCCTACTGAATTTTGACTGCATGTTAAGATATTGGTACCTTAGCGTATTGTTTTTTAGTAATATGCTGAACTGCAAAGGACCCAACTCCATTTTTTTCCTTCCTTCCTTCCTTCCTTCCTTCCTTCCTTCCTTCC